GTGGTGTGTCAGCGCACGCCTGGGATCCGAACCCGGGCCGCCAGCAGCAGAGCGTGGGCACTTAACCTCTATCCCATGGGGCGGGCCCTAAAGTGCCCTTGAGAGAGAGAGACGGCGGGATGATTGGGTTCCCCTGAAGAAGCAGGTTGGGCTGTTTGCTGACTTGAGCAAAGGCAAAGCAGGAGACATTGGTTAAATGCCTGCTAGGAGCCAGGCGTTTGTTCCGATCACAGTATGAGCCTTTCAGTGTCTCGTGCAGCTTCGCTCAGGGGTTCTCTGTGGCCTCACCCGCCACAGCCCACCTTTCCAGGCTCGTTTCCCATGTCCCACCGCCAGCCTGTGTTGACCAAATCTACCTCTTCCCTGTTCCTTGGACAACCCAGCTTGTTCCGGTTTCCTGTCCTCAGCATCAACTCCAGGGTGACTCCTCCCTGGCTGAATCAGAAGCCTGTCCTCGTGTCCCCACAGCAGCACATACATTGTGTTGTCGTTGTCTGTGTCCTTGTCCCGAGCCCGCCCTGGACCAGGAGCCCCTTTAGCACACACTCATGTCTCAGGTGCCTCTATCCCCATCACCCGGCAAATGTAGGGCCTAAGTAGACAGGAAACGAGTGAGTGAACCAGTGAGACACTGAAAACAAAACGACAACTGGGGGGGTCCCCAAGACCACCTTCAGATTCGAGGACTCACAACTCAGAAAAGCTGACAGACCCTTCATGGTTTATTGCAGTGAAAGGATACAGATTATAGTCACGACAGTGAAAGGTGCACAGGCTGGAATCCAGGAGAGAAGGGTCACGCTCCCAGTTGTCCTCTCCTGATGGAGTTGTACAGACAGCTTACTTCTCCCAGTAACAATTGAGTAACAATACACGTGGACTATTGCCAACCAGGGAAACTCACCCAGGCCTGGTAGGTTTTATGGGGGTTGGTCACAGACATGGAAGGCTCGCATGACTGACCTTACTCAGCCTCCTGATGTCTCAGAGGTCAACCTGATGCAGCGTGACCCAAGGTCCCCGTCATAAACCACACTGTTGGCAGACTGGCGTGGCCCAAGGCCCCCAGTAAACAAAGACACTCTTACCAGGTGGGACATTCCAAGGGCTAGAGGTTCTCAGGAGCTGATCAGGGGCCAATCCATTGTTGCAGTGTGCAGAGTTTGGACACCCCAAGTCTGCCGCGTTAACCCTTTACTGCACACTGAGCCAACACAGCTGCAGCCCAGGGATGCCTCTTCTCCTGGCTGAGGGCCCAGCTGCTACTGCAACACAAGAGAGAAGGAGCGCCAGTCTACAGGCAGTATTGGTCGGGATGCTCAGGAGCTTCTCAGCAGAGGAGGCAACTTGGTTTTGCAGGGGCAAGACCACTTCGGGGGGGCGGTGCACGTTTGGGAGAGCACCCTATGAGAGCCCCAGAGACCAGGCTGAGAGGCAGGAAGAACTGGTCAGCCATTGGGCCTCTGAGGCACCACATGGCATGGATGGGGCAGGGTGTGCTTCCGGCTCTGCCGCACACCCGCTATAGCTTGTCAGGGGCCACAAACTCAGCCTTTGTAAAAATAGGGACCATGTACCGGCAGCAAGGCAGAGAGATGGGGAGGGATGTGATGGTGCCAGCCCTCAGCTCCCTTCCTGAGGCGTGGTCAGACATGAGAACCAGCTACATGCATCTCCATGGGTTTGAAACCCAGCACTGCCCCAGCAAGCTCTGGGTCTTCACTCCTCTGCCTCACTTTCCTCGTCTGTAAAATGGGGGTGGTGATGAGGGCCACTGCCAGCAAGGATTGAACGTGCTAACTTGTAGAGGAAACGTGTCCGAGGGCCCCCTGTCCCGTATGAGTGTTGTTCCACCGGGAAGCAGCCTCTGCCCGAGCGAGGTGGTGTGGTCACGGGTTGGCTGTGGTTGAGTGACGAGAAAGGAGAGCAGCCAATGACAAGCGCGGATGGCCCTGCAGCAGTTGTAGGGGCAGCAGCTTTCAGACGGGGAGGACCTGAGCTTTCCTGGCATCTGAGGGTCAGGGTGGAGGCTGACGAAGCGCCGCTGGAGCAGGGGCCTATTCAGAGGATGTCCCTGGGGCGGCTCATTCCTCCCATAAGGCCAGAGGGCCTTCAAGTTCTTGACCTGTTAGTATTTGTTGTTCTTCCGTGTGTGTCTCACACCAAACGCCAGTGTGCCAAGCGCTGCCCGGACCCTGCGCGGAGAGCACCTGTGGGCACTGGCTGCAGGGAGCAGAGGCTGGACCTCAGGCCATGGGGCACGGGGGCGTCCAGGCCCAGCCGGACAGTGCTGGGGCAGGAGGTGAGAGGAGTCCACATGGCCTCAGGGCTCTCACTTCACCCCTTGGGGTCGTCCCCTGGTGGGCTGCAGCCTGTGACCTGGGTGTCTCACACACACACAGGTGCTCACACACACACCATCACATGCTCACACCTGACAGATTCTCTCCATGACCAAACTAGTCAGGCTCTTCTGAGCTCTCTTTTTGACTAGGCCTCAAACCCTGGGCTTCTGGATCCTTCCTTATAGAGTCCAGTTCTAGCAAAAATCTTACTAAGTCAGTTTAGCAAGAATATCTCGTCCTCCACATCCGAGCACCCTGGGTATCTGTTCCGGTTGCTCATCCCCATCCCCAGGTGACGTCTGACCACCTGGCCTGCCTTCAGCAGGAATCCCCTCACCCCCTGAGGCTTCCTCTTAGTAACCTACCCACGGACCCCCACCCTGCTTCTCAGCTGTAAATTCCCACTTGCCTGTGCTGTATTCAGAGGTAAGCCCAGTTCTACACTGAGATCTCTTTTCCCCTATTACAATAGTTTTTCTTTTTTTTTTTTTAATAATTTTATTTATTTATTTTTCCTCCAAAGCCCCAGTAGATAGTTGTATGTCATAGCTGCACATCCTTCTAGTTGCTGTACGTGGGACGCGGCCTCAGCATGGCCGGACAAGCAGTGCGTCGGTGCGCACCCAGGATCCGAACCCGGGCCGCCAGTAGCAGAGCGTGCGCACTCAACCGCTAAGCCACGGGGCCGGCCCTACAATAGTTTTTCTTAATAAAATCTGTCTTTACCACTTTAACTCCTGTCCAGCTCTGCGTAGTTTTGTGTGTGTGTGTGAGGAAGATTAGCCCTGAGCTAACATCTGTTACCAATCCTCCTCTTTTTGCTGAGGAAGATTGGCCCTGGGCTAACATCCGTGCCCATCCTCCTCTACTTTATATGTGGGACGCCGCCACAGCACATCTTGATAAGCAGTGTGTATGTCCATGCCTGGGATCTGAACCTGCGAACCCTGGGCCACCCGAAGCGGAGTGCACAAACTTAACCACTACGCCATCGGGCCAGCCCCGGTAATTTTTTCTTTAACAATACACACTCACTCCCACACTCTTACACATTCCCCAGGGCAGCTTACCAAGAATGCCAATGCAGTTACCTGGCAGTGGGAAATCTGGACCTCTCCCCCAGGAGCCCTGAGAGTGTGGGGTTCTGCTGACTTGCACAGTGGTGGGTGCTGAGAGGGTCTCTGGGGTGGAATCCAGGGCTGAGGGGCAGCTGCTGGGTCTTCCATGCAGAGGCTGGGTGGTGGGGGAGCCAGCCTCTGGGTGGGAGAGTATATGTGTGTGTCTGTGTCTGTGTGTCCACATGTGTGTCTATGTCTATTTTTTTTTATAACATCGTTATTAAGATAAAATTCACATACCATAAGTACAACTCAGTGGTTTTTTGTATATTCACTGAGATGGGCAACCATTACCACTAACTAATTTCAGAACATTTTCATCACCCCAAAAAGAAACCCCATACCTATTAGCAGTCGCTCCCTATTCCCCCTCCTCCAAGCCTCTGGCAACCACTAATCTACTTTGTCTCTATGGATTTGCCTTTCTTGGATATTTCATATAAATAGAATCTTACAATATGTGACCTTTTGTGTCTGGCTTCTTTAACTGAACATAATGTTTTCAAGGTTCATCCATGCATCAGCACTGGGTTCCTTTCTATGGCTGAGTAATATTCCATTATATGGCTAGACCACATTTTGTTTATCCATTCATCAATCGGTGGACATTTGA